CATGCTCTTAACCATCTTAGAAGGTATACTGCCTAGTACTTTTTATAAGTGACTTACAACTATTGAAGTTAAGTAAAAATGAAAAGGAGAACAAGTCTCTTGGGTCTTTTTTTTTTTTCTGAAGTGTCGTTTGCTGATGAGTCCTAGCTGCAGACATGCCTTACTCCCAAGAAGCTGAGAAGATGCATGGAGACGTACAAGCATTCCCTGCAAAGACCTGGGCATCCAACACACTTTCTAATCTAACCACTAGGAGTTAATCCCTCACACCCTTAGCCTGAGAACTTAGCTAGTAACTCTTGAGAAATGGATTTTTCATTGGACCCTCTGGATGGTTAGATGTGAACTTGTTTGGACAGGGACATATTTTTGGTTATCTCATTTCCTTCAGGGTGACAGGAAAGAGGAAGGAAGAATAAATATACTTTCTAACTTTGGGGGGGTGGGGTAGGTGAAGCAAGGCTTTTAATGGAGTATGAGAGCATCGCCGCAGCCACGGCTCCTAAGATGTGAAAAGGCTCCTGTCTTTGCAACTGTTTAGAATTGCGGTTTTGAAATCATTTTGCTAGTTTCTCTGGAAATCTATGTATTTCCTCTCACATTTAAATTGGCATCTCATGTTTTTCATCACAAGTTAAAATAGTTGTAAAAGATGAATTTTGCAGTGCTGTAAAAATTAACATGATGAACCAAAATTGTTTTATCTTACTTATAAATATGCCATATATTATTGATGCCAATGCCATTCAATACCCACCAAAGTCCTTAGGCAATATACAGAAAAAAAAAAATTCACAGTGGAGTCACACAGGATGCACTGAATTCCCGAGTGACACACTGAGGGATCACAGGTTTGAAATGTCTATCTTTCATGTCTCCTTAGACACACTCAGCGCCCGGGGTTTATACTGGGTGCCAGTTGCATAGGCACTCTCTGCCTAGCATATGACCAAATTCCAGACTCTCAGAAGGAAAGCAGTTTCAGCAAATTCCATATTGTTTGCATAAATGGCTCAGGTACGGTGAGCTACACTTATCAAAGAATAGTGGGAACCTCCTGAAATCCAAGTTCGCAGACGCCATCGAAGGGTCGACCTTGAGAACAAGCCTTTCCAAGGGGAGTAGCCTCAGCCCTGCTCTGTTGACTTTTTTCTGCACAGTCGCTTTCATTCTGTGGTCTCATTTCACTTGTGATTCAAGCTCAGTTCACGTGGGCTACTCATAGTCAGCTACTAAAAATACATCAATTAACATAGTGGTCGAGAAAAAATAGTGATTTCCTCATATTATTTTAATAAAGTATTTTATGTAGTACCTAGGGGAACAGAGATTTTTTTTTTTTAGATAATTAGAAAAATATGCCATGAAGATTTTTCTTCACACAGACTGATCACTGAACTCTCAAAAGCAAAGTCTTTCACTCAAAAGTAATTCAGCTATATTGATAATACTCTTCAGGTTTAAAAAATAATGCCTTGTCTGTATACATTTGCAAGAACTATATAAAAGGTCCAATTCAAATGGGATAGCTCTATTCAAGGGCTTTTGTGCAAAAAAAAAAAAAGTAGTGATATTTATTGTGGATTAGGGTAATGGCTAAATTTTCATCAAAGAGAATATTTTGAGCCTTCATAGAATAAATCAACTACAATTGCTGTGTAAATGAATTTTGAAAGTGTTGATTTATTTGTTATTTACTTATGTGACATGTCATTATGGATCATTAGAAGCTCAAGATCTCAAATTATCTATATAATGTTTGCTGCATGATCCTCTTACAAATGTCTCCTCGGATGAGGAGTTTATTTTTTGCATTGACCTTTGAATTCAGGATATCTTTGATGATAATTATTTTCTTCATGCCATTGGAAATGAGGTGGCACTTAAAAATAATTTAGTATTAATTTCTCCAGTATATTAAACTCAAGTACTAGTGAACTATTCTTTTGGTCCTAAACAAGACTCTAGATATTGTTCAGAATGATACATGATGAGCAAACAGCCAGCATTACTCTGGCTAGGAAATTATATATTCAATTAGAATAATTAATGCTAGGTGCTGTAATAATCAAATCACAAAATCTCATTGCTTAAGTGCAACAGTGGTTTATTTTCCACTCATACAAAGCTCAACATGGGTCTGGCAACTTTCACAGGGATTTAGGTTATTTTAATCTTGGGGTTTGACCATCTCATCATCTCATCCTGAGACCTGGAAAGGCACTGTCTGGAGAAGAAAAAGAGGGTGGAAATACATTGGATTTTTAATCCCCAAATGACAGCATGACTGTGTCCAGCCAACCTGGCTCAAACCCAACTTCAAGAAAGACTGGGGAAATGCAAGCGAACAATTGGAATATTCGGTAACCATTGTATTTCCCAGTTGTACCTGTTCCTAATTTCTCTTTTGTTCTTTATAAATGTGTAGCAAAAACCCCCTTTTCTCTTGTTCAGATAACTTACATTTTGTTGTTTTAATTTAATAGACACACAGTTGAGTAAAAAGACAGTTACCCAGTACTCTGAGGTAATTGTCAGGATGGAAGTTTTGGAAGCCTACAGAAAAATATAGGCACCTGGGATGCCAATAGAGAGGGAAGTTTACCCAGAGAAAATGTCAGGTAGGCAAAACTAAACTTTAATATTACAGCTTGTACAGCTGTGCCATTCTATTGCTGTGTACCCTGACTGTCCGCTTAGATGCTTTTTATTTGAAACATTTAATATTGAGTATAAATTTATAAGAAAATCTTTTTCTCTCAACTTTATTAAAGATATAAAGCCAACATACAAAAATCGATATTGTTAGAGTGTCTACAGATTCAATGAAACCAAATAAAATAATCTGAATCATCATTGAAGAATTGAAACTATTTTAATAATTAGTTTTGAGCTGTCCTCTTATATAGAGTAGTTGCTCTTATACATAAATAGCTCTGCGCTTGTCCAAAAATAATGTTAAATATTTGTAAATAAACAAAGATGACCAACAAAAATATTTCTAAAATAAAGGGGAAATGTAATTAATTCTAACATATTCATATGCAGTTGATCAGATTTAGCTTTTATGATCTATAACTATTAATATATTGTTTGAATATTGTTCAGTTTTTATAACTTAATGGTCTGAAACAATAGTTCTGTAAAAAGAAACCATTGTTATCTACCCAAAATAAACGAACAAATACATGTTCACACAAAGGCTTGTTTTCAATTGCTCACAACAACATTATTTATAACAAAACAAATGTTTGTTGATTGGACAAACAAACTATGCAATTGAATACCGCTCAACAATATAAAGGAACCAACTACTGACACACAAAACAACACGGACAAAACTCAAAATCATTTTTCTGTATGAAAGAAACCAGACACAAATTACCATATATAAGGCATATGTGTGTACATCAGGCATACTACATGATTCCATTTGTGTGAAATGCAAACTATTTAATACTCTATAATAATAGAAAGCAAAACTGCAGTTGCCTATGCACGGAGGCAGAGGGAGGGGGAGATGTGAGGAATCTTTTGGGAGTGATGAAAATATTCTGCCTCTAGACCGCCATGGTGTTTCGACACATGAACACATCTGTCAAGACTGAGTTGAAACACGCAATAGTGGTTCTCTTCACGTGGTCAGTGGCTCCTTCTATCTTGGGTACACAGTTTACATGCCTCTCTTGCTGGTGAGACTCCAGACTGGTGTGAGATTGGGGGCTATTGACTTGCCTAACCTAGTGTTTAATCCACCGCCGACGACAAAAGGTTTGGATAATAGATGATCCTGATGGTAGATGTTCAGATAACAAGCAAATCCCTTTCCTCAAGGGAACTTACTGATGATGGCAGAAATAGAACAGGCACAACTAATTTAAGTTTTAGGATCGAGCTCAAATTCCACTCCATTCTTGAAAGTTTCAATGCCAATGGGTTTTATAGAGAATTGTTTCTTTCCTTCAATGTTTATAGCAGTTATGGTTATAGTATATATTTGCTTCTAATGAGACCACAAGCGATGCAGTATTCACATGTGCATGAGGATCCTCTACACAAATGTGAGCTCACGTTGAGCTGAGAGCTCTTGTGGTTCTTTGTATCTCTAAAGAGCACCGTGCATTTAGGTGGTGCCCAGTAACTGTTTTTACATGTCTATATATTCTTCATAACAATAATAATAAATCATTTTACTAAAAGGCTCTATATATTTGAAAGGCTAATATGCCACAATGCATTATGAATAGCATAATATGTAAAAAGATACATGTGCCTTATAGGTCAGAGTGATTACACTGCCGTTAACCCTCCTGTCTAGTTTTAAGACAACTGTAAAAATTCCTTAATAAGCCTGGTATTTAGATAAGTTTTGTGGCATAATTACACTTAAAAAATATTTTATGTAAGTTGCAGCAGGGGAGCTATATTTAGTCATGGGTGTGTAATAAAAATATCGACACTCCTGCCTGCACTGATTTTGAAATTCAAATAAAAATATCATATTATAATACAATTTACATGAATTATATATCATATCAACGAGTTTCTGAATTTGGGAGCAAATTATGACACTCTGAGAACAAAATGCTAATAGCAGCTCCTGATATTAATTTCAGTAATGTGGTGATTCTTTTAGTTGCACCTATGAGAAGAATTTCTGACAGTTGCAAAAAGGTATCTGAGTTTCCAGAAATAAAGCCTCAGTGAGAGTGCTGATTTTAAGCTACTGTCTGTTAGTACAAGCCATCTTGATATACTTTGTTGTGATACAAGAGCCGGCTCTGCAAACCATTTCTCCTTTGACTAATAAAGAATAGAGTCACTTATTTGAGCTTAAATAAGATCCTGGGCAAGTAAGGCTCCTTCTACATCTGTGTCCCAGTTCAAAGGAGCCCATCTTTCAAATTTCTTTTTTCTTTAACTCTTAGTAGCACCAAATTTTAATATCTAAGTCAATTTTGAAGGGAAAAACACCTCAAGAACTTCTCCGAACAAAACAATGATGTTCATTCCTCCAAACATCCAAATTGAAGGTCTACCAAACAAACAAACAAAAGCCCATACAGGAATAAAAAAAAATCACATTCTAGCGGGTCAGTGCATTTAGCAGTCTTCACTGTGCTGTCTAACTGTCCTTCAGCTGACTTTCAACAAAAATAACACCCTAGCTAGCTCATCAAAATATGCATTTCCCATTTTCTTTCTTTTAAATTAAAAATAATAATTAAAGAAAACTTTAAGGGATTTACAATCAATTGCCTGACTCATTTTGATGTCGTGTACAGCATATGGAGGTCAGGAAGGTTATCTACAGCACACGTGATTGGGGATATTCATCTTCAAGGCTTAGCTTTCTTCCACACAGTGTAAAATACCCACAATTCCAAGTATGAAGGGACACAAATGATCTCAAATTCCACAGGACAATACAGGTGCCCAAGCTGTTCTTCATAGACCGACAGGGCTTCTGTCAGATTGACACAGTTCCTCTGTGTGAAATATTTCCCATCCTGTTTCAACACTTTCATTAGAGGTCAAGAATCAGTCTGAGAAACTCCTTTGTGGAATCTTCTTCTGGAGATGTGGAGATTGGAACAGCTGTTGGATCATTAATCACATAATCAGACTTTCTCCCTTCTTTGGTGTACCTCTTCAGTACTGGAATGCAGCCTTCTGTTAGAACCTGATAGCAGTCTCCTTTAAGACTGTCTAAGACATCACCGCACATTTTCCGCATATATTTCTTACATCCATCAATCACCACTTGGCCAATCTCTACCATAGTGATCATCTTTGGCTTCAGTTTGACTATTTCACATAATATGCCCCCATCTCCACCTCCCCAAACCAGTACGTCTTTGCCACTGCCCATGATGGCTCAGGTATATGCCAAGTCACTCTGCCAAATTAACATCCCCACTAAGGATGAGAATATTCCCAAATTGCTTCACACTCTGCCAAATTAACATCCCCACTAAGGATGAGAATATTCCCAAATTGCTTCGAGTGTAGAATTTTAATTCTGACAAGGTGAATCTTCATCATACACCACTTCATCTATGTCTTATTCAACGAGGCGCCCATCAGCTGTGGGCCAGTATCTGCCCTTCCTCAAACTATGGGTGGTAATCCAAACTTCTAAACTCTAATAATCCCAACCTCTACCCTTTATGCTTCCAAACTTCTAAGTAGCTTCTTTCTGCATTACACATTATGATCTTTTAATGTCACCTTTTTACCTTGGCAGATCTCAGACACTGGCACAGTTCCAGTGTCCTAATTGGACTCTGATTCATGTAGCTAAGCAGGCATCTTGTTCATGAATGTAGGGCGTGTCACTTGGACTCCGCTAAATAGCTTTAGTGGTTGCCAAGCATGGTGGTTTAATGACAAGGGGCTCAACATCAGGGTGACACATGGGCTCCAATTCCTTTTATTCTTCCACATAAACCTGGGGAAGTTATTTAACTTCTGGCACTTCTCACAGCCTCAGTTCTCTCCATGTGTAGCAAATGTATTTAATAATAACAAGATTGTGGAATTAGTACAATGAGCAACCATGGATGCAAACTCTGGGTGCACAATGCTTGGCAAATAGTAGGCTGTCCAATCATCCCTTCTGGAACTAGAAATGACGACTTCCTGATTACCTGTATGTTGTCTTTTGCTATTTCTACAAGCAGTTTATAGTGTTTCCATGCTATTAAGATTAAGAATCATGTTTTAACTCAGGGAAAAGCCCATCAGGAGATGATTCACTTCTGTGTTGCACAGCCCTTAGGAATGTGTCCATAATCCTATTGTATTGTGGTCATTGGTTAATTTCTTTCACCCATGAAATGCTGAGTCCTCGGGGGCAGAGACTATATATGTCATGGGTATATTTGCCATTTTGCAATCAAACTTTGTCACTTTATCACACCCACCTTCAATTAGCTGATGCCTCTAGGCCTTAAATTAAAAGCAGGCACTTGACTATAATGTGCCAGCTTAATTCAGGCCACATTCACTGTTTGAAATGACAGAGTGTGGTTAATTTGAGCTGCTACATTGTTACTCAGCCTATTTTCTGCCTTTCAGCCTCTGCCATGTCTTTACTCAGCAAACAGGAAGCCAGAGGCAGAAGACGCCCGAGAGAGCCAAGGACACCCACCACCCGCCCAGGGGGTTCAGAGAAATAAAAATTAACACTAAAGCTGGATTTCATATTATTCATATTTTATTACTCTATGGCTCCATGTGAATGAAGACTCATTTACAGAATATGATTTTTCTTATCTTTGGAACTAGAAATTCAGTTTTGAGACCTTCATTCATATTTTTTTAAATTCTTGATTCTATAGTGGGTATATAGTCACCTCTAGGAATGTTGGCAGAAAGACAGGCTAGAAGGAAAAGTAAATGGAAGAATGGAAGGTAGAGGAAGGGCAGCAGGGAAGTAAGGAAGCAAGAAAATAAGAGGGAGGGAGAGAAAAAGTCTGTCTGATATTTTTCTCTTGATTGTTGTATTTTTGTTTTATTTATTTATTTGTTTAGTAGCAAGACTGGGCTAAAGCAATGAAGTTTATATTTCCTGTAAATGTTTTTTAATAGGATAGCTTTAGATTTAAAGAAATGTCACAAAGGTAGTAAATGGCATTCCTATGCACTTAATACCCAGTTTCTTGTGTGATTAACCTCTGACATTCGGAGGCTACCTTGTTCACAATTAATAAACCAATATTGATACAACATTATTAACTCAAGTGCTCACCCTGTTCATATTTCTTCAGGATCTCATGCAGGATATGACTTCACATTTAATTATTAAGTCTTCTCTGGCACCTGTAGACTGGGAGAGTTTCTCAGATTCTCCTTGTTTTAGATGACACTGACAGTTTTGAGGAGTATTGCTCAGTTACTGTATAGTCCGTCTTTCAATTTAAGGTTGCCTGGTATTTTTCTTGTGGTTAAACATGGAGTTACAGGTTTGTGGGAGGAACACCACAGTGAAAAGGTGTCATTCTCATCGCCGTCAACAGCATATCGAGGGTTGATCTCCTGGCTGAGGTAGTGCCTGGTGGATTTATCCACTGTAAAGTTACTCTTCCACCTTTCCACATTGCGTTCTTTGGAAGAACATCTCTGTATGCAACTGACATTTATGGAATAGGGATTTCAGTTTCACTTCCTTGAGGGCAAAATAGCCACATGAATTATTTGTCATTCTCCTGCATGGGCAATTTGTCCCTTCTCCCCCATTTATTTACTTAATTATCATTTATTTATCATTATAGACTCATGAATATGAATTTCCTATTTAGCGCTGCAATTCAAGAATGCATTTTTTATGGTGTCGCTTAAGTTGTCCTAGCTTTGTCCATTGGGAGGTCCTTCTGTGGAATACTTGTCTCTCTTGACATACCCCCACTGTTATATTTTTTGAGCACCTCCCTTTTTCTAGCACTCTATGATACTACGTTCTCATCTTCTGTATTCCCTTCCATAGCCCTAAAATAAGTCATCTCTGCAAGGATCCATGTTTTTATTGTTTTCTTGTTTGTATTAGAATGGTATTATCTTACTTTGCATCAGGCCCTTCCAGGTCTCCTCTGCTCACATGTTACACTTCAAAACCTTGGGGCCAGGGATGCATGAATGTCTTCATCCATCTCTGGTCTTGGCTGTTCATGTGCTTAGCCTCAGCCAGGACTTCACTTGCTCCAACTGAGATGGCAACCTCAGAATAACGAGCCCAGTTTTTGGCCCTCCTTCTCTTGCCTGCTTTCAAGTAGTCACTGCCATGGACAGAACTGTTGGGCTTGGCATTAGTCCTCTGGTTCCAAGATGAGTCCCTGTTAACCCTGGCAGAGAAGTGGCTCCACTCACTGTTTGCCCTGGCAGAAACTTGGCACTGCCAAGCCAGGAGCAGGTGTGGAAGCACCCCAGGCCTTAGTACCAAAAGCTCCCATTACTCTTTCCTGGAGTTCACAGTATGTAAAGCATGAGGCTCAGAGTGTTGTTTGCCTTTACTCAATTTCCAGAGCACAGAGACAATAGTTGTCAATTTGTTTAAATTCACATTTACTTTTGGGGAAAATATTTGTCAATCTCCTCACCTGGCCATAGATGAAGGTCTCACCTCCATCCATTTATTTGGCCAAAGAAGCTTGACATGTCATGTCCTGTGGATGCCCTAGCAAGCTATACCAACACAACAGAGTGGAAAAGAAACCCAATGAATATTTAGAGCCCACCTGCCACATCAGTGAAGTTTTTAGGAATCCAGTGGTCTGGAGAATGCTGGGTCTTACCAAAATTAAAGGACAAGTTATTATATCTTGTACCACCTACCACCCTGAAGGAAGAACAGCACCTGTCAGGCCTCTTTGGATTTTGAGACAGCATATACCTCATATGACCCATTTTGTGGGTGACTTGGAAGGCTGCTGACTTTGAGTGATGCTCAGAGTAAGAGAAGACCTGTGCAGGCTCAGATTGCAGTGCGTGAGTACCTGCCTGCTACAGACTGAATGCTCATGTTCTCCCCAAATTCAAATGTTAAACCCCAACACCTGTAACAGTATTATGAGGTGGGGCTTTGGGGGGTCAATGAGGTCATGAGGGTGGAAACCTCACGAATGGGATTAGTGCCCTTGTGAAAAAATTACAGTAGAGACCTTTACCCCTTCTACCATGTAAGGACACAGCAGGAAGGCACCATGTTGTGGTTGCCCACCAGACACCTAATCTGCTGGCACTTTGATCTAGCATTTCCTGTTCTCCAGAACTGTGAAAGTTAAATTTCTGTCTTTACAAGCCACCCAATCTATGGTAGCTTGTTGGAGGAGCCTGAGTGGGCTATGACACTGCAGTGTGGGCGTTTGGATCCAGCAGATCCAGTGGTGCTCCTGGTATTTTGTGGTAGTCAGGAAGCCGTGTGGTTTCTCTAGCAAGCCTGAATAGTTAAGCCAAAGTGCAGACGCTAGAGATACGGAGCAAGACTCTGTCATCTGCGGCAGGTTACATTCCCAACCCGGCTTCTGCCGTGCATCTAGCCTCTGATAGAGACTAAGAGACTGGATACCTGGCCATGGTGAGCCAAGTGACAAGGTAAGCAGAGCTGTTCATCACCATCAGATGGTTGCTGCTACATCCATCAATATGACTTGATAGGCAGGCAGGAGCCACGAAAATCAATTATGCAAGGGTTCAGCAGACTAAAGGGCTAAAGGAAGTTACACAAAAGGATGGTCCAGACTTTCATGTTACCTGTTTCTGTAGCACTGATATTTATCACTCAGGTCACACCTATGGCCTTAGGGTGATGAGTTGTCAAGGGGAAAGAGGTTTGCTCCTTCATGATGGGGCTGCGACTCAGCAGATCCTGCAAGCACTTGCCAGGGCTCTCCGCATCCAGAAATAACTGTATACCTGCAACTGCTCCAACTGTGGCCAAAGACTTAAGAAACAGGTGCAGAAACCCTAAGCGACCGTTTCAGTGCAAACAGCATAAATCAGCAACCTACTGGCTGGGGTTGAGCGTCTTGCAGAAAGAACGGAAGAGGAATGAGATTAGGACTGCAATACGTGGCCCTAAGATTAACTGAAACAGTGGGAAGCGTGACCTCATCCACTAATCCTCCCTTGTGAGGCTCTTTTGTGTCCAATTAGAACAGTCCGAGGTGTGATTGAGTAAACGGAGCCTGGACATCACTGGGGCTGAGTGTCGCAGGAGTGGTGAGGAGCAGACGTGTTCCTCTCATGCTCTACCCAACCCCTCAGCCGTGCAAAGTGAGGCCACCACTCTAATATACGGAAGATCAGTTAACACCAAACCATGTAAAGTGAGCACTGCTTGTGTTGAGGTATATTTTTGACAAAATTTTCATGGAATGTTATAATTACATTAAATGACTTTTAAAGATGTTAAAGAGTTAAAACTGGCAAAAAGAAAGCATGCTTTTGTGTATTTGTTTGAATTGTTACTGTCTATATATCTATGTTGCGTGCTTCCTTTTAGGTTGTAAGATTCTGCATGGCCCAAAGTAATTTGGTTTGAAAAATGAATAATCTTATAAATGAGCATTTGGCAAGTTATTTTATCAATTTCCTAAAATCAAACTTTGGCTGCTTC